AAGGCTGAGGCGGAGGGATCGCTGGAGCCCAGCAGGTCGAGGCTGCGGTGGCCAGGAGTGTGCCACTGCACTACAGTCTGGGCGACGGAGTGAGACACCAACTCAAAAAAAAAAAAAAGAGGAATACTTGATAATGGCACAACATTCAAGAATTCTATTATTAAAAAACCCCAAAAGGAGGCCAACTGCTCACGCTTGTTATCCCAGTACTTTGGGAGGCCGAGGTGGGAGGATGATTCCTTGAGCCCAGGAGTTCGAGACCAGCCTGGGCAGCATAGTGAGACCTCGTCTCTACAAAAAATATTAAACAAAAATATTACCTGGGCATGGTGGTGTGTGCCTGTAGTCCCAGCTACTTGGGAGGCTGAGGTGGGAGGATAGCTTGAACCCTGGAGGTTGAGGCTGCAGTGAGCCATGATCATGCCACTGCACTGCACTGTGCCTGGGCCACAGAGTGAGACCTCAACTCTAAAAATGCAAACAAACAATGGTTTGGGAACCAAATGTTAACAGGAATCGCTGGACCATTGGGTTTCCTTCTAGTCTTTTTTCCAGCATTGACATGGGCTCACATAGGTATATTATGTTTATTTTTTATTTTGTTGATGTCATAACAGTGGGGTCTCACTCTAGGTAATGTTTTGTGGTTTTTATTAACAAAACGAAAATTCATATAAAATAATATAGGACGGGCACAGTGGCTCACGCGTGTAATCCCAGCACTTTGGGAGGCCGAGGTGGGAGGATCACTTGAGCCCAGGAGTTCGAGACCAACCTGGGCAACACAGCAAGACTCTGCCTCTAAGATAAATAAATACACAAAAGCCGGGCTCAGTGGCTCAGCCTGTAATCCCGCGCCTTTGGGAGGCTGAGGTGAGTGGATTGCCTGAGCCCGCGGGTCCGAGACCCGCCTGGGCAACTTGGTGAGACCTCATCTCTACAATAAATCAAAAAAATCAGCCGGGCGTGGTAGCGCGCACCTGTAGTTCTGGCTACTCGGGAGGCTGAGGCGGAAGGATCGCCGGAGCCCAGCAGGTCGAGGCTGCGGTGGCCGGGAGCGGCCACTGCCCTCCAGTCTGGGCGACAGAGTGAGACTCCGACTCAAAAAAATAAATAAATAAATAATAAATAAATAAATACACAAGTAAAAATAAAATAGAAAGGAGTTTCCAAATGCAGATTTGTAATAAAGTGCTGCAGTCACACACATGGTGGCTGGCAACCGCCCCCTGAAGTCTCGCCCCATGAGGCTCCTCCCTGCCCTGGTGCAAGAGTCTCTGCCAGGCTTCCCAAGGGAGCTGCGACGTCCAGGGCTGCTCAGTAAGTGGCCTCCTTCCCCGAACTGCCTCCCTGAAGGGCTTCGAGAGGCTCATCTGTAACCAGAAGAAGGAGAATGAGACCAAGGTGGTGCTGTGCGAGCTGGGCAACCCCATGAAAAAGCATGCCCGGGTGAGGCTGTGGGGCGGGTGCCGGGTCTCCTCGGGGGGCTGGGGCCGGGCCGGGCTGGGGGCTGGGTTTTAGAGGCAGGCCGCTCTGGGCTGGAGTCCTGGTCCTCACACCCCCTCGCTGTGTGTTCTTGGGTGAGTGGCTTGCCCTC